GGTGTGTATTATACGTCATTTGTTTTCCACGCTGACAGGTCCTGTGCTGTGGATTGCATTTTGTATGTTTTTGTTTCTCATAGCTTAGTGATGTGTCCTTAGAAGTCAACGCTGACAGTGCCTGTGCTGTTGTTTTCTTTGGTCGTTTGCCACCCTCTTATGTTTCACCCATCCGTCCTCATCCTCCTCCTCCCCTGGTTTCTGCCGTTAGCCTGTCTACCCCCTGGTCATCCTGGTCTCCTTAGCCATCACTGCCCTTCCCTGGTTGTATGTATTATGTACTCTGTACTACGTTATTTTTCCCATTAAATCACCTTTTTCACTAGCACCTGGGTCAGCAATCTTGAGTCCTACCTTAGTTTTCCCTCATCCTCCCACTGAGGGGGACTAAACCCTAACACCATCCCCTTGTTGTTGCCAGTCATTCAAATGTTGTTCTCAGTTTCACCTGCTTTGTAATCTGATTACCTCAAGGCAAAATTAGTATGTACTTTTTGTACAATGTACTGAAGTTTTTTCCTTCTCTCATTCTTTATTCTTTTTAAATCTTGATGACTGATGCAGGGAGGAAAGGAGATGAGGTGGTGTCGCTCTTCTGGCAGATATGCCAGGGTCATGATAATAAATGACAGCTGATTTATGTGTCTGTATTCTTTTTTTATTTATATACATACATATATAAAAATAGCAAGGGGGCTGATTTCTGATATTAATAATACAAGTGGATCCACTTTGATTGGGCTTCTTTTGAGAGCTGTGCATATTCAGCATTATAATTAAAGCCTCTGATGTGAAATAGGAATGACACGCTAATGAAGCAAGCTAGCGAGCCTGAACTGCAACTGTCCAACAGCATTACGGCACATCAGGGGTGAAGAGTAATTATATGAGGAACACTGAAATGTCATTAAAAATATTCAGTAAGTGATTTAACCCACCATTTCTCACCAATGCTAGAGATTTCTTTTTTCATTTACCACCCCCAAATATAATCAACTCACAAGGTTTCCCTTTTCTTTCACAAAACAAACAAACAAACAAAAATCTCTTTTCCACAAGGCCAAGGCCAAACATGTTCCTCAGAAGTTTCACAAACAAAAAAGCCAACGAACACCTAAAACACAAACACATTGAGATTTGAGACAAAGACATTGCATTGTCCTAATTTAATTGCAGAACTCAATAGCGGTGGTAGGTAATTGAGATCATCCCATTATAAATTCCATTATGAACTGGTGATTAAGGCCAGATGTGATTATTATGGATTAAACATGATAGTTTGAATTTTTCTAAAGCATAACCTCTCCAGTCAACTGCATGCTCACTTTATCACAACTAACATG